ATAGATAGATAGATAGATAGATAGATAGATAGATAGATAGATAGATAGATAGATAGATAGATGGTTTATTAAGAAAAAAGAAGTGCATCATAATTACAGCAAATAAAAAATCAACATACACAAAAGGACAAATATTGATGATTGACGACAAAAAAATTTAATTTACAGGAATCCTGTTAGCTGGAAAACTAAGCTAAATAATGTTCAGACCACAAAAAAGGCAGATGTAACATCATAATAACTGCGAAGTTGTGCGAATGTGACACTTCTCAGAGAAAGTCTCAATAAAGCAGGAGTCTGTGAACAATAGATTAAAAACACACAACAACTCTTTATCTAAACAAAAGAACAATAAAGGAGTTTAAAGAAAGAACTGGAGACAAATCAGAGGAAATAATCCGAGCAGGGCCTTTATGAATAAATGAGAAGAGGTGATGAGAACAGCAGGAGGAGCGTTTCAACAAAGGCTGGAAGGAAATCTGACAAATGAGAAAAACAAACTGTGTAAAACAAGAGAGGGAAAACCACAAATACATCAAAAGACCTTTTATATTTTATCCCTTCTGCAAAAACATTTAGTGACCTTCCCAGGTTGGAGACTTTTTGTCAGCTCTTTAAATAATGTAAGCATGTAAACAAACACGAGTTAACATAGAAATCAGTTCATAGAAACCTCCACACGGTGGCGCTGTTGCTGCGTTTCTGAAATACAGTATCTCATCTAATAGTTTTAATGATCATTTTACTCCTAATCCCTGCAGCTTTAATAAACTACATACATTATACATCTATAATCCTAGGATTTGACCTTTGACCTCTGACTGTTGTCTTCTTTAACACCTTCATGATAAAACATGATTTTTTGTTTCTCTTTGTCTCCCAGTGAGATAAATTCTGATTCAGGATGTAGATGTCCGAGAGTGTTTTTATGTCTGCATGTCTGTTAAACTGGACATGTCAACATGTTGCGCAACACCATGTTTAATTTCCATAACGTTCAAAATAAGACCAGTAAATGAGTTTACTTTGATACAGAGGAAAAAAAGAAAAGCAGCGCATTAATGCATATTTGATACACTTTGTGGCTGACGTATTTAAATATTTTAGTAGAGTGGGTTCACCCAGGACTGAGCCTTGATTTATATGAGCTTAAAAAAACACCTTTCCTTTCAAATTTACGCTTAAGTTTGGTCCAATTTGTTCTGAACTGTGTGTTTGAGCTGCTCCTCCTGTCCACCACCTGTCGACCAGGATTTACAGACGAGCCTCAGGGTTTAATGTTTGCTTTTTAATTATTAAAAACTCTTCTGAAAACTTTTGACACCAAGAAGAATCAGGTTCCTCAGCTAGTCTGACTAACGACTGTAAACCTGAGCTCTACAACTGTAATAATGATAAACTGATACGTTTGTTTGTCTAAAATGTAACTTTAATTGAATAAAATAGAATAGAATTAATTTCTATTTCAAAACAGACAYAAAACAATAAAATAATGTGTATATATACATTTTGGCCAGCTTACAATGTAAGCATGTTTACATGTCTTATTGAGTTAAACTTTTATTTTGAAATCCTRTCATGTTTTATTTGACCTCCCTGTCTTGTCTATCAGCACAAGTTGTTCGGTTTGAGCTGACAGATTAAAAACATGGAATCGGACTGAGTGTATCTTTTATTTCCCTGTGGGAGAAGCTAAATAAACCCCAGCGTTCAAAATTCCAGCTCGGGACGCTGGAGAAAAAAGCCACATGTTGAACTTAATGGAGCGTGAGTGGAAACAAGGCGACAATAAAATCAATTACAGGCGGCAGTCAAGGCTCTAAACGCTGCTCAGCTCACACAGACCCATTAGACGGGTAATAAGTGTTGCAAAAAGAAAAGGGAGCAAACCAGAGAGCGGAATAACCCGTGTTAATTATTGCATTTTATTAGAGTTTACRTCCATTCCTGAAAACATCCTGGTGTCCTGACTTGTGTAGGATTTATAACTTCATTTTTTTTTATCAATTAATAAAAGTCATTATGTTTATTAGGCAGCCATGAGTGGAAAATCTGTTGATTTTTCATGGCTGAAATATAAAAACAATTGTTGTGTTATAAATGAAGAAAAAGRCAAGTTTTATTAACTGTTAACCTTCGGGCATAAAAATACCATAAAACACCTTAAAAAGTAGACATAAATTGAAGTACTGCTTTTGAACCCTTTAGAGTAAATTCACAAGCTTGGTCTCTTTTTAAAGCTAATAATCTGAGTTTTTAACTTCAGCGGTCATTTTCTTTGTAACTGTAACTAGTATTTAGTATATTGAAGTAAAATACACAAAAATTAA